TAGTTTTGCTTTTACTTCGTCACTCATCGCTCAGTCATTTTTTTGGTCATCTTTCCTCATCCATTCTCCGCATTTCATGCTAAAGCATTATTAATGCAATAAGGTAGAAGAAAAATAGGTTTTCTTTGCAGGCAACTAAATTTCAGAAGTGTGGAGTTCTCGAGCTGTTGGAAAGTCAACGGGACCATAAGACGTAACCAGGTGTTGGTAGCCAGGACAATTGGCACCTGCACTGATGTGGCAAAATATGTGTGCTTCTTTAAAATGAGATTACAGGAGATAAATTTTGAAAGAATGTGGTAAATTAGAACACGCAGCTTTATCTTTTTCGAATGATATGCGTAAGCATAAATAAAACCGGCACACCAATTTTTCACCTGTGTAACCATTGCCTTCAGGTGGGAGCTGTTTCCAATACAGATTCCGTGGGCAAAACCTCGAGCAATGGTGACAAATGCATGCTTAGTGTGGTAATCTGGACAGTCCCTGTCATCAGGGTGGAGATGTGTCCAGTTATGTCGAATCCCGTACATTTTCATAGATTGCTTATAGATTACAATTTTATTTACTCATTAAATAATTTTAGAACTCAGGATTGGTGAATGGACTGCCCAAACTTATTTTGCTAAGTCGACTTGGCCTTTTATGGAGACAGCGACATAGAGGAACTTCTCAACTTGCTAATCGTAAATCCGAAGAAATCGCTCCACTGCTTTACACTTCACAACCCAACGCTGAATCTCTTTTTCAGTAGAAAAAGGTTGCATCCAAAGTAGGTTGACATCAAGCACCAATTTAGATGGCGAATTCATACTTATTATGGAAAGTGTTAGATGTGCCCAAAAACTGCATCTCTCAAGCAGCAAATGATTGAATAATCCCAATTCTACCTTTACGAATGTCACTAGCTATCTTTAGCTGTTAAGGACTTAAAACTAGCATGCAGTATTCATAGGCCCTTCACTAACTACGCCTTGGGCCGGAGCCAACATGCGTGAATATTTTGCCATGTGATACTACATCCAAGTGTCCACCTTTGTCTAGTAATAGCTTCTCATCAACTGGCTTCAGTCGTATGACAAAGACCAACATAAAAGCTTGCGCTAGTGAAATAATGCAGTGCAGCCATTCTCTGACATGTAGTCCTTCCAGTTCAATGATATGCTGCTTCTACTGATGCATCTACCAGTGTCAGTTCCGAGTTAAGTTGAGTCACAAATCTCCTCTTGTTGTCACAACCTCCACAGACTCTACCATCGTGTCCATATCTGATAGTACCCTGAAGGACAGACAAGCTAGAAAATTCCCGTAGAACCTGTTGAACGCCATGTTTGTTCCTGCCTCTTTTTATTTTACGAGACCATGCCTCGTGAACGGACAGGGCACACTCTCGGGATTTCCTATATGACAATAACTCCCCATTAAAATGAGATTTCCAAACGCTATGCGTTTGAGCTATTAATCTCATCCGCTTCAATTATTCCTCCACCAACAAAATTCAAGCGCAACTCTTTAGATGAAAACCCAACAGTCATTTACCACTCATCCTCTTTACTTAGCTCAAATTGCAAAGGCAATGATTTTTGTGTTCTTAGTATTTTAATGCTTCTTTTGCAGGTATATCTGACGCTTTATTCTGCGACCATTAATTTCCATATTGTAGTTTGTGGACAAGGCAGAAATAGAGAGAACAAACTTGCATTTTCCTAGTCAAGCAACAAAATCCGTGCTTCTAGAGATCAAACTGGAATTGTCGGCACCGGGTCTCGATTATGCATGTGTCGGAGCAGTGTGGTTTTTTATGATTCCAGTTAAATTATTGAAATGTGTGGTTATCATTGAAGCCAAAGAAGTGCTTGAAATTAAACTTTGAGCCTTCATAAGTGCTTTTAGGTGAAACGAATTATGCGCTGTACATCATTTTAACCCCGCTACGACTTTCACTTGCACCATCTTTTCTTTTAATTCTGCCAGTATTTACGGCAACCACTGTGTACAGCGTTCCACTTTACTGACGGCTGTAATTTAGGTAAATTCCACTGGCTGCTTTTGCACATTATTGAAAGTGGTGCAATTGCACGAAATAGAATGACATTCTCGGTAAAATAGAACTTTAGGATTGTATGGAGAAGCTGAAGCCCTGCCTCTTTCCAGGTGGCCTGAATCCCCAGTGAAGCTCTATGGATGCTCCCCTGCCATATCACTCATTCCATTGGTAATTCAATCAGGCAGATTTATAAAATTGATCGTCAAACCTGATGCTCTTAACTAACTGTGAGGAAAGGAAACTGGTAGCTATTTGTCCCATGAAAAACATACCATAGTCTAGGAACGGCTATCTGTGAAACCAACAGGTTCGAAAACAGTTACAACTGACTCCGTCTGCCGTGCTAAAGTTGAAATTGGAATTTAGTGGGGTCAGGTTTGAGAGTCAGCTTCACACACTTTCTCAAAGTGAGGCTCATGTTGATTCGACCTGTGCACTAAGACTTCGGTAAGAGAGCCGACCTCGTGTGCGTCATTCCACATCTCAAAAGAGGTATTCGCACTTCACCAGTGCGTCAGCTGCTATTGTCAGGGAAATGTGATCATGACGAGAACCAAACCCTTCTCGGCCGAATAAAGAAAAAAGGATAAAATACGTAGAAAATGCGGTCAGCATTTGTGTTGCGAAAGGTAGGCGATAAAGGTTAGCATCACTGAGGGCTTTGACTAATGGAGGCGGATGGTAGAAAAACCCCACAACTGCTAGTTTTGCACATGCAATCTTTTTTTTGTAAAAATAAGTGCAGAATTGGCGTTTTCCTCGTTCAAGCGGTTGCCATGGCCACAATCCTAGTGGAGGCTTGTGGTACCAGCGGCTGCTGAGCGAGTGGCCTATTCACAAGGTGATATCAAATGTGACATCAATCTAATCAGTTTAAAAGTTGACTTTTATATTAAGAACAAAATGCAATAAGCATTCTGGTGAGATTCTTCACGCTAGTAATATATCAGTTTTAATTATTGATATGGCTTCTATAATACAATTATGGGCAGACAAAGCCAGCAGTTATGTTTAAAAGAGATTAATTAGTCTCATATCATAATCTCAAAAATTTGGTTGTTATTGTTATTAAATGAAGAGGAATGTAGTGGTGATGAAACGTTGCCAACATATTTTGTAGTAAATTTTTCCAATCACATGCCTGACACGAAAGTGCAGATATCAGGCAAAAACAGGCAGATAAATTAAAATGCATCGGAACCAAATCTGTATGCAATTTGTTTGTTTCCACATTCAGTGCTCAGGTTCCAATCCCCTGTGTCCAAAGCACACTGCATATCACGTCTTTATTCACTTAATACTGTGAGCTTTACGAGGAGTTATGGCCATTGCAATTGACTGATCTCATAGTGCACAAGCGTGGGAATTAGGGATGAGTTGGAAAATTAGGGACTATATAACCAGCAGTCATGACGCAGTCCTCAAATGAGCAGTTGCTTTAGGAAATATTTACTTCGGAACCATTCTAGGCGAAGAGCACTTTGGGCACCATGGAGATCAAAGTAAACTTTGTGGTAGTTGAATTATCAACACCGTCAGTCTCCACTCTTAGGTGTAAACAAATCTGCTGATTATACCTGAGCCGGGTTTAAGCTAGGCTTCTGCACTAAGATTAGTCAAAATTTACCGCACTACTTAAGGTATAATTCAATGCTTACTTGCATTTCGTTCAAATATATTTATTAAAATGATTTAATCTGAAGGCTGTCATTTTTCGTTTAGCCTGCGAATCCATGTTCTATGGACTTGCATTTATCACACAAGTTCCCACTTCACTCTTCATTTTGGATCCAAGCGCAGCGAATGGGCTTATTTTTTATTAAAGTACACATTAAGTGATTTAATCCCATCTTCGAAAGCCAGCGGAAGCCATTTGGGTTGTAGGCTTCGTTGAAGTCGGCATACAGTGGCACAATGCTTTACGCTAAATGGTTCACAGTGATTGCGATAAAGGCGGGTGGAGTTGGAAGAGAAGGTGGAATCAATGGGAGTTGGAAGGCGACTGAATGACGGAATGTACGTACGATGTTTCAGCTGAGGGCATATATGAAGGCTCGAAGTTCGATTTCAAGCATTTTCTTGGCTTGACTAATTATTTGACTCACAAATGGATCAGCTGGAAGGGTGAAGAACCACTTTTTGACATACGCCTTTTCAAAAACCGGTGCCGATAACTCCACTTTGACCTCAGGACGCACAGCTTTTGTTACCTGTACAGAAATATCCAGCTTCGTTAGCCCAATCATCACTTTGTCCACGAGCTGAAATGTGGAACTCAATGCTGAGAGGGATGAGGTGCCCTATGAACTAGCATTAAAAGTCTTTGAATAACAAAAAATATACAAAATTTCACAATTACGTCTTAGTGTAGAGGGTGTACGGCAACATGACTGATACAAATGCATCCAAAGAAATGCTTACGTATTTTGTTAACGGATAGAAATAGAAGGAGAGGAGGCTAATGTTGTGAAGTGAAATGTGAAATTGCTTACTGAAGTGGGGGGCGTTATGACCAAGTGGATGCATTGATGCAAATGTCGAGGGTAGAAGTAATCTCTCCATTGAGCAGGCACTCGTAAAACGCAAAGTGGCAGGAGCGAGCAAGGCTTCCAACAGATTCCACACCAAATTTTGCCGCATTTGTAACCGAATGTTCTGGTGCATCCTTCAGAATGCTGTCTATTATGGACTCAATGATGGAGCCTGTGCAAGCTGTGTCAACCAACGGCGATTGGTAACTTACCATGAACCGGAATGAAGACTGGCGGAAGCGTCACGAAAAGCAGTATGAAGGTGAACAGGAAAGGCTGCATGTCAAAGTGGTGGAGTTGTGTTTGGCTGCATTAGCTCCCGTTCTTATCTCTCTTCTGTCACAAGGCTGAAGGCAATTGGTGCGTGGCGATCGCATCAGTAGGAAAAGGTGGAGGACTTGAAGGAGGCCACATCAGATGGCACCGTAATCGCGCTTGTCGCCTCGACACCACGCCATACTGGGTACAGTGAGCAAAACAAGTCGCTGCAAAGGCATTACCAAAGCAGGCTCACTTGTGTCGGCATTTAGGCATTTGCACGCACTTTTATGCCCACAGCACCTGATTTGGCATAGAGTTGAGTCAAGTAGGGTAACCATGGTGCCATCTGATGTGACTCTCAAGTTTCCTATCTTTCCCTTCCGATGCAATCTCCTCTCGCCAATCCACTTCCGTCTAATGACAAAAGGTGCACAAAAGCTACAACTAATGAAGCCAAGTGCAAACCCTACTTCTTTGACATGCAGTTCTTTCACCTCAGTGGCACATGCTTCTGCTGATGATTCTGACAGTTTCCCTTCTCGCTTCTGATGAGTTACAAATGTCCTCGTGTTGGCACAACTTGTGCAGCCTCTAACACCGATTCCACAGTTGCTGGACTCCTGAAGGACGCAAATTCCACTTGAAATCTGATGGAAGCCACGTTCGCTCTTAGCCCTTTCCATTTTACGAGGGCCTGCTCAATGCCGAGGCAGCTTACTCCCTCGCCATTTGCAACAATGTTACCAAGTTGATAATAAACCCACTTACTACAGTAAGTATTCTGTACCTGATACTACAAGACATTAATCTTACCTCCTTCGTTTTCCCTTCCACCAACAAAATCCCGAATCATTTCTTTGAACAATAATTCAGAGTCATAATTCCACACTTCCTCCACCCCGGGTTTGCTCTTTAAATCAATGTTATTGCATATTCTAGATATTTCAAGGCTTTTCTGACAGTTGATTCCAATTTTGATTCCCGTTGACCGTTGATTATCATATTTTAGATTGCGACAAGCGTGAAAATTGGGAGAACAAAGTTGGATGCTTTGTTGCACAACAAACTGGTAACCAATTATTTTTATGTCATCAGCAGTGTGTAACAGCTTATGTCCTCATTACGAAGTAACAGCAAATCACAGCAGACCTCACGGCAATCTACGTAACTATATAATTTCTTCGGTTGACTAGGGACACCAACACAGGTCAGTCAAAACTGCCTCAGTGCTGCACGTCGTTTGAGGGAAAATGACAATGTCCGAATGGTTAATGTGAAGCTGCATCCTCCACCTCGCGCTTACCGATCCCTCCATTGCAGGTCTTGCCAAGTTACAGGTCAAGCCTGATGCGTTTACAATGCCTTTGTATTTATCAGGTCTGTCTGAACGGAACTAGAATTATATCGTTGAGGTAGTAAGCATTAATAAGTTGAATGAAGGAATTTTAACATTGAACAGGCATGGAATACAGTGTCCTAGGAAGCATTGTATAACGTTTTCTAATGCCCAATGCCTTGTTATATAGATCATGAATTAAAAGTCGTCAGAAGTAACTAACCATCGTACATCCCAAGTGGATGCACTGCAAGGATCTATTTTATGCAACCGAATTCAGGTGAATAGCAGAAAGTCCCATGCGTCATCACTGGTTTTAACGCAAAGTGGTTAGAAGTTGTAAGCTGTCACATCGGGTAAACACGCCACATGTATGGTGCCACAAATTCAGCCTTGAAGGCCTAATGACAGATGGGATGGTCACTGTTGCCAGAGATGTAGCGCATAGCTGCTAACACACTGCTTCTAGCAATGGTCACGCATTCCTCTAAGGAAGAAATTACTTGTGAGGGCTGTGTTCCCAGCAGTGGCCACTTCCTTCGAGATTTATTGGACACCCATTCAGGCTTCTATGCAAATTTTAGGAATATGGTCTCTCCTCATTGTTCGATATTTCGGTGGATAGACTGACTTTAATTGTGATCATCACGGTGGTAATACCGAAGCATTGCCACTCAACACATTGTAAGCAAAATCGCGACATTGGGACCCACCCTTTGCTCATAACTCAGCAATTCCACCATCGGAGGCGAGCGAGAATGCCAAAAGTAGGTGTATATGATTCGTCGCCTTTGAACACGGTGTATTGTCGATAACTTGTCTCTTCACACGTTAGCGCCAGTTCACACGACCAAACCACATTGCATAAGATCATCGCAAGCATTGGAATTCTCCCATTTGTTACTAACAAACTCTGCCTTCATCTACCCATGGTGAAATTGCATAAAAGAAATAAACGCAGATCATGTGGGCTGGCTTGATGCTGCTGGCACTGTGATCGCAAAACAAATAGCGACAAGTCGTGTGATAACTTTTGTGGAATGTCGGACCTAGTTTTATGTGTATCAGCGTAGACGATAAAGCTGAAATGTACTGTTAAATAAAAGACTACAGCAAACAAGTTCAGTGGGCATAATAGGACATAATTATTAGGCACTTAGAGAGAAAATGTTACTCATTTTTCACCAAGTGTTATACGATAAAAACATTTGAGGGATAGAAAGTAGGTATTAAAAGCACAACTACTAGCAAATATTTACAGCAGTCCGTTATGTTGGCATAAAGTAGTGACGTTTTTCGAGCACAAGGCAAAGTAAAATGCGCAATAAACATTGCACATTCCACCAAATTGGCTTAGTCCCAGCAAAACCACCCCGATCAAGCGCTGACACTTGATGGGATTTGCATTGTGGGCGACGTCATCCGGTTGTTCATCAAAACCTTAATTATGATGTTACACTTGATTTTCAATGGCAACTTTACTAGACAGGCCAGTGTGCCAGCTGTCAAGAAAATCCTGTCTAATTCAATTTAGAGGATTCTCCTGACCAGCTTCCTTATGCACCACAGTATGTATGGAAATCTTTTAGCCCATTTTACGAAGAAAGGCGTTATATTTCGTGTTAATGCACCACTTCGAACAATACGCGATGTACAAACGCAGTTGATGGAGGCAATTTGGGTTGTAGGCGTCATTGAAGCGGGGATGGTGGGGCACACCGCTCTACACCGAACGGTGCCCAGTGACTGCAGTAAAGACGAGCGGATTTAGAGTATTAGGTGGAATGAATGAAAGTTCAGGAGAGATTAAGTGATGCAATGCACATGGGGCGTTTATCCAAGGCCGTATATGAAGGCCCGAAGTTCATTTTCAATCATTTTTTTGGAATCACGAATTATCCTGCTTTTGAAATACTTAGCTGGTACTTTTGTTAGCAAATGTG